AAGACGGATAAGTCAAAAGCGGAAGAGCTTGGGAATTTTGTAAGCTCAAATCCCGTTTTTAGATGATGCTTATTTTTCCAGAGCTGGAAGGATGAAAAAGAAGGGATTCACCGCGAAGTGAATTATTCCGATAAGGTCAGAGACTTTTCTGATTCTTTGACAAAAATACAATTATTAAATTCAATAAGCGACAAAAACCACACGTTACCAAAAACCATTCGCCTTTTTTCAATAACCTTGATTTCGGGCCAAGATTTTGGCTCAAAAACCTGTGTAAAAACCTTACTCAGGCTTATGCAAGCTTTCTCAGAACCTGACTCAAGTTTTAAGGGGCGCACTGGTTATGTCGCCGAATGTCGCCGAATGTCGCCGAATGTCGCCGAATGTCGCTGAATGTCGCCGAATGTCGCCGAATGTCGCCACTTATTTTCGAAAAGATAGGAATTATGAAAGAAAAATTGTTATTTTGGCTCATATTTTCAAAACAAACTTGTTCTAGAACCGAAAAAGGCGGAAATAGGAGGAGGCGCGGCAATAGAAGTGTGTCCAGCCCGACCAGTGAGTTTCCTACCACAAATTGCGCGGAGCGCTACCTTGTCTCGAAATCATGCTCAAACAGTTCTAGAACAAGTTTGTTTTGAAATTTCTTGGTTAAAAACCAGTTTTCTTTCCAAAAATCCTGGTTTTGAAAATAGGTGGCGACATTCGGCGACATTCGGCGACATTCGGCGACATTCGGCGACATAACCAGTGTCGACCAGTTTTAACGCAGGTTACCATACTCAGACATTCATGTGTTTTTATGGCAGGGATACCCTTAAGTCTGGCCAATCCAAACTGACCAAAACTATCTGTATCCCTCCATTTTTCGTCCCCAATTAGCCCTGTCGCCGGAAAAATTGCACAAAATTTTTGAGCAAGCAGGTGACAAAGATTTTGCGGGGGGCTTTAGAGTCCGCGAAATCCGCGAAAAGAATGAGAGAGAAACGCGAAAAAGCGGAACAAGCGGAACAAGCCGACGTTTTGTCGCCCCTATTTTCACGCTCTTCTTTTTCGTTAAAATCCGACAAGCCACTTTTCCTTTTCGAAATTTTGAAGAACGCGTCTTCCTGAGCAAACGTGATTTGCGGGATTAAGGGTGTCCCGAGCTAAATTTTTCAGAAGAAAAAAAAGAAATTTTCTTTCTGTAAATTTTTTGCTTATTTTTCGCTTGTCAAAGATCAGTTATTGCATTTTGATTAACCTTAGCTAATCTGGCTTGAGAATTTAGTAAATATTTACTGTTATCGAAAAAGACCAGATTTTCAAAGGAAACAATTATCCCCCGCGTGAAATCGTGATGCCAAAATAGAAAGGGGAAAGATAAGGAAAACCAAATTAACAGCGAAAAATATAAACAAAAACGTCACTCTAAAACGTGAAGGGGAAATTCTTAACCTTAAGGGTGTCACGTCCAAAATTCTGATTTTTCTGAAAATGATTTTTCGTCTTTTAAGGGACCCGGGCGAGTAACGCGAAGACCAACTTCACGCGCTCGCCATTGATCTTTCAGAAAAGCTTTTGAAATTTCTTTTGCTAAACATATCTTCATTCCCTCAGCTTTCACCTCCAATTTTCAGATTTTTATATCATTATTAATTCTTGAGCTAGGATGAATAAAAGAAGCGCAACTTCAAAAGGATTCAACTCCTGCAAACTTCATTTTATTTTTATGAAACCAGCACCATTGAAAAGCCCATTAAATTCTGAACAGATTCCACTTAATGCGCTAAGCTGAAACTTTACTTATTGCCCTTCGCGCGCTGATAAACAAAAGAACTTAGCGCGCGCCCAGCGGGAATCATGTCCCGGGAGCCCAAAATACCCCAAAATAGCCCGATCGGAGCGTCCTGCCAAGCTTCGAGCGCTAAGTTCTTTGTTAATCAGCGCGTGAAGGGCAATAAGTACAGTTTCAGCTTAGCGCATTAAGTGGAATCTGTTCAGAATTTAATGGGCTTTTCAATGGTGCTGGTTTCATGAAAATAAAATGAAGTTTGCAGGAGTTGAATCCTTTGAAGTTGCGCTTCTTTTATTCATCCTAGCTCAAGAATTAATAATGATATAAAAATCTGAAAATTGGAGGTAAAAGCTGAGGGAATGAAGATATGTTTAGCAAAAGAAATTTCAAAAAGCTTTTCTGAAAGATCAATGGCGAGCGCGTGAAGTTGGACTTCGCGTTACTCGCCCGGGTCCCTTAAAATTGTTCAAAAAAAGAAGTTATGGCAAATGAGGTAGCGGTCAGCACGTGAATCGGAGAAAAAGGTTGAGGCGGCCACAAAAGAGATTTCCCAAAACGGAAGCTAGTCACCGAGCCACTTTGATCTTCCTCCAGCCGACGTGGGACACGGCTCGATTTACGCAACTAGTCAATTCGGTTGTTAACCAAAACTAGAAGAAGCAGAAAATGAACACTTTTCGTGAAAAAATAACTTAAGGGTATCACATTGAAAAGCTAAATTTACTTGATTTTCTTGAGGCTTCGCTCGAAAACCTGTGTAGAGAACCTGAGTCAGGATTTTCCTCAGGATTTCCCTCAGGCCCTGACTCAGGTTTTTACACAGGTCTCCGAGCGAAGCCTCAAGAAGAATCAAGTAAATTTATTTTTCAATGCGATATCCTAAAGTTTTCTCAGCTGTTTTTAGACGAGATATATATTTCGCAAATAAAATCCGGAAATTGGTGTCTCGCGTTAGAGGAGGCATAATTTCCCCGAAAAATTAATTCTCGACATGCGCCCATTTCCTCAATTTAGCTTGGGACAGAATTTCGTTTCCTTAGAACGAGGCAAAAATTGAGCCGCGAAAAGTGTGTTTTCTGATCTTTCGAATTTCGTGCTTTCGATGACAGTCTTGTTTACGCCAGGTGCTCCTTTCGGTCCACGCCCGGAATGGATTAACCAAAGTCCTTTTTTCGCGCACCTTTCTGAGGAACTAGCGGATAGGAGGCGGATTTCCGCGGGTTAAAACTTACTTTTCTTTTCTGCAATTCTGGTTATTTTTTGCTTTTATTTGTAAAAATCAATCATCATAATCAAAGATCATTTTTACCATTAATCATATCAGCAATATTTTCAAAGAAATCAATTTCTACCAAGTTTCTAGTCTGATTTTTACTAATGAAGTAGCAAATTAACATTCTTGTTTTTCAAAGCAATTTTTCATAGTTTGAATTAGGTGTCCCGATTCGGTAATAATTAATACTGTGTTATCAAAAACATTTTATACAACTGTACCATAATTTACGATAATTTCCTCATAACAATAGTCTTTTATCAATGCATTAAACTAAGTTGTCATTAAATAGATAATATGAGTCATAATTCATAAAATTTTAACAAAAATTCATTTTTTTTATTCTAAAAATCGCCTTTTTAAAATCAAAAATATGCCATTTTTCCTGATTTTCATTCTTCACTAAGCAGATCTCTTGTCATAAATTTTTCTCTCTGATATTGGAAAGATTTATCATAAAATAATTAGAACACAAAATAAATTGATGAAAAGAATCTATCTTTTTTTTTCTCGAAGAAAGAATTGAGCGTAGGTTTTTTCGGAAACCGTTGATCGAGAAAACTCACTCGCGCGCGGAGTTTGCTCGTTTGCGCCATCGCGCATGTTCATTGGCGCAGTGGCGCGAGAGAGGTGAGTCGAACGGACATGAGTTTTCATGATCAACTGAGTGCGTATAATTGATCTTATGATAATAAATCAGTAACTGTAAGGAATTCATTCAACAATGATAAAAGAACAAATTTTAAGAAAAAAATCTTTTAAAATTTGGGCTTAAAAATCTCTGCAGCTCAAAAATCGACTGTTTTCTTCACAATTTGTTTTCGAGTAAAGCCTGATATTTTAACGCGTAAGAATGGGCTACCTCGCTGTAAGTCGGAACTGTTTTATTTGTCCGAGGCAAGATAATGACTCGTTGCGGAACTCATTTTTGCGAAAAAATCCAAACATCTGCGGTGAAAATTGCTTCTTTCTTTTTTTGAACCTATTTGAAATAGGCTATTTCCTCTTCGTGGCTTTTCAGACTCAAAATTTCCATTTCAAATTTTTGCTTCTTGGACATGAACTTTGAGAATCTCGATATTTTTTTAATTTCACTGTGACACCCTTATTTTTTGAGCGAAAAAGTGCTACTGCGAGTATTGGTATTATTATCTATATTCACTTTCTTCTGTCCATCTGGCGGCTCAGCAGGTTGTTATCAAACACCGAAGCTATGGCTTACGTATGAAGGCTTTTGTTGATAAGGCGGAACTCTTTCACGAGCAGAAATTGATTATCTGGCGTCCAAATTATTAGTCTCTCCAATTCCCTTTTCGTCGTTCCACGAATTCGACGTGTTGCATAAGCCAAACTACCTCCTTCATTCAACAAATCCTTTTTGCCAAAACTAAACCTTAGTCGACTGAACAACCGAAAAACGAGAAAAAACAGTTTGTCATTAATTTTTTCCACATAAAAAGGCATTGCCGTTCGATCCTTATTCGAAAAAATCTAGTATTCCAAGAGAGTCAGCCGATAATAAAATGATTTATCCGATTTTAATGACGTTTTAATCAGCCATCATCAAATTAGGCCATAATGGGAGTGTCAATCACTGTTAATTCAAAAATCAATACCTTTTTCTCTTCCTATAAAATGATCGAATCAAGCTGATCTCAGCAGAAAATGAAGCTTCTTGAAATCCTTTTACTCATAATACCAGTTTTTTCAAAAGCGGCATTTCCCGCCTGGCACTTTCAATCTGCTGACAATCCTCGTCATCAAGAGTAAGTTTGTTGTGAAGCGTTGAAAATCATTAAGTTTTTAGGAGTCTTGATATCATGGAATACCTTCATCATCGACAAAAGCATGTTGATCATATGTTAGGAGTATTCGACAATAAAAATGATTAATTTAAGAAAAATAAAACCAAATCTTAAAGCTCTTTCTTTTATTCCCAAGAAAAAACTATCAGAAATTATCCAGCATAACTGCATCTTCGTCGTTCACTTTCCCTAAAAGCCAATATTTACACCGATTCTAAATTGTTAACCCGTACCTTGCAGACTTCTCCTCTTGAGAACAACAAAAATGCAAGTGATAACTGTCGTAACAAGCAAAATACTGTTCATTGAAATGACCAAATTCGTCCAGTCGAAAATGAAAGAATTATTGATGATTTGCTCCGCCCAGTTGTTGTCATTTCTGATGAGGTATTCCAAGAACTCGTATTTGTCCAATCTTAGTTTTCCAAAAGTCGAGTCGATATTTATTGCCAGTTCCAGTAATTTGCCTTCATCTGGTCCTGGCAAGAAGAGATAGCTCTCTCGCTGAATAGAAAAAATTATCAATAAATTCAAAAAAAGGGTTTTACATGAAAATTCGTTCTTTTTCCTTCCCAATCAAAAAATTCTTCTTCCAATAAATCAACGTCCAATTCCACTGAAATATCTTCAAATAACTCCTCCATGTCAAAATGATCACGGTTCTCCGGAATATTTTGAAGAAAATTTTCCAGATAAAAGATAATTTCACTGTCAAAGTAATTGTCCAATCGATCGTTTCCGACAGTTCCAAAAATGCGAATCGCGCTTCCAAGAGCCACCATAAGTCCAAACAAAGATGCGAGAACGATGGATAAACACATGTAGCTCACGAAGACAAGATTTGCTTCCGATCGAGATGCGGCAAACATCAGACAAAGGGGTATCAAGCCGCATAACGGGGGAAGAAGGACTGAATTGCAGTTCTTATTTTACTATAATAATAATTTATGATTATAATTATATTATATTTTTTTTTTATTTTTTAATATAATAATAATTAATCATATAAAATTTATTAAATTAATTATTTGATAATAAAATAATTATTTTTAATTTCGAAATAATTCTTACTAAATTTCTTTTTAGAAAAGCATTAATGATGAATCATTAATTATTTCTCTTACGTAAATATTGCAAAGAAGCGCAGATTTGCGCCAAAATCGTCTCAAAAACTTCATTCTTCAAAAGCGCCCCTGCTCCAATCTCAAATCTCAGTGCACTTGCTTGAATCCAAACTTCAAAGTTCTCTTTCTCGAATCGCGGAAAGTACACGCCAGCGACAATGATAACTGCAAGAAAGACAAGTATACTGATAGCAAAAACGAGATAATATTTTCTGTTTTGGCCGCACATCTTTTTGAAAAGAAAAAAAAATTGATGACTTGTCCGGGATTTGATAATTATAGCGGTCGTAAAAAGAGTGAATGATCCGTTTCGACGTCATCAAGCAAAAGAAGTTAATCACGTGATTTATGCCTGTTGCTCAAAAGAGACGAAGAAAGCTGTACTTAGGAATTACGAAAATGATAGTTGAAATCCGACCGCGGATTTGTCAATTCAATCAACTAAATACCCGTAGATGATTTTAAGCTGCTTGAGGGTTATTTACTCGAATGCTCGGCTAAATTCCTGATTTGACAAGAATTCGTGGCATTTTCCTGGACCTCAGAGAATGAATTATGAGGAAGATACAATAAGGGTACCGTATCACCAACTTTTACTTGGCAAATCTTTCTGAAAAAGGGGGGTATCTATGTTTATTCTGATAAAATTAACCACCTGTGCTCAACTGAATTAATATTTCTAGAGAAATTTTAAGAGGAAAAAATAGTTTATGATATGTCATCCCTTAATTTATCGAATTTGTTCAATCAAAGATTCCTAATTGCTCGATAATAAGCAAATTTGAAGAGGTGATAACTTATAAGGAGCACTTATTGATTTCAATTTAGAGAACCATTATTGCGGTCTTCCGATGAAAATTTCAAAACAAACTTAAAATCGCTGTCCGTCTCGTTATCAAAATTTATCCATTCCGCTATCGTATTTACGCTCCATTCAGCTCCTTTAGTTGGCGAAACAAATTTTTCGTCCGGCATATATTTCCGTTAAAGGCGGCCGTACCGGGTAATATTTTGGACATATAAATCGAATATTCAAAGAAGGAACTCAAGATTTAAGGGTTTTCGATTTTTAAAAAACGCAAAATTTTGGTCAAATTTTAGTCGAAACTTGTCTATCCAATCAAATTAACGCATTTAACGCTTGGGCCAATCAGATTTCAGGAAAAAATGATCATTATGTTTTATCAAATGATTCTGTAGAAGACTGTATTAATAATTGAGCAATGGAGTTTTCCTTAAGAAAGATAAAATGTCAAGTTGTGAATGAAATTGTCGGGTTCTTGAAAGAAATCGATGGAAGTTATTTTTTGCGATTGAGGAAAAGAAGAGATAAAGAGCCGATTTCTAAAATAAAATCCGGTGAGAGGTAATGACTGCCTAGCCGCGGACGCAAGGCCTTTCAGGAACTCACCTGATCCCTTACTTAAGGTAAGCTCACTGCTAGAACGCTCAAGAAAAATTTCGTTCACGGGAAATAAATCAAAATAGCTGAATCGGACGCTTTTTGAAATACTTTGGAGAAAAGATGCTTTATTCATTAATTATGCGAAAAAATGCAGTTCTGTTTCCTCTCTTTTCCGAATCTTCAGACAAAAATGAATGTGTAGCAGGGTTCACCTTTTGCTCTCCCTTCCCGACCTCAGGATTCCTCAGAAACATGAAGAATTCAGAGCTAAGCTCGCAAAAAGAACTCAAAGCCGTTTTTTCGTGGCAAATTGGCGGCTGACCTTTTTCGCATCTGGCACAGAAGCAGGTGCAGAAGGAATTTAACATTTTCCGAAGCTCAAAAAACCAGATCATTTTTGAATATTCTGGTTTTCGTTCAAGAAAAAAAGTAAGACGGAAAAATGTTTTATTTAAAAATAAAACGGATTGATGGATTGTAATCCGGGGTTAAATCCATTCGAAATCACAGCCGTGATGACCAAAAAGGGATGAGCGCCGCTTCAATCGAAACCGGTCGGATTATCCTTACGGATCGAATTGAGCCTTTCTCATAACACCACCCTGACGCCGTTTTCACGCGTTTTTCGATAACATCAAATATACAATTTAAAAAGAACTCCGAATATTAAACAACTAGAAATTCGAACTGGTTAAATGGGTCAAACAAGTCTTGAATTAATAGCTGAAATAAGGGTGTCGCTATGTATATTTTCGGGGGAAAGCCAAAGCCCTAAAAGTCACGTTTTTTATTTAAAAAATTTCAAAATTTATTTTGATAATGGAAAAAATTTCATCATGAAAATCAAAAAGAATGGATTGACATTTCTATTGCATCAAGAAATCTGGAAAATCAGCTTGCGCTCGTTATCTCCGAAAACAAATCTCCCGCCGACAAAATCAAATCGACCTTTTGCCGGAAGAACGAAAATACCAAGCTCTTTGAAGGCTTACAAGAGCCGACGAGAAATTCGAATTTTATGAAACAGATCATCTCAGACACGTTGATTCTTCCTTGAAAAACGCATTTTTGCAATTCAGATTTCAATTATAATTCGTGAAAAGGGTCTAAATTTGCCAAAAATACGACAAATCTTGGCCGAATCAGATTTCCTCATCATTTAGGACGGCCAATCAGATTTCAGAAAGAAAAATTGAAAATCATATTTTCGTCGAAAAGCGTCTCTTTTGCCGAAAATCGTCTCTTTTGCCGAAAATCGTCTCTTTTGCCGAAAATCGCCTCTTTTGCCGAAAATCGTCTCTTTTGCCGAAAATCGTCTCTTTTGCCGATAATCGTCTCTTTTATCGAAATAAACGACGATTGGAGCCGCTTATCTATAAATTTTCTGGTATCTTAAAGATTTGTAAGCATCTTTGTACCGAAACTAATCACTCCTCTCAAATTGCCTCTTCTATCAAAATTTCAAGTCATCACGAGCGTTTCTTTTCTGATTTTCTTCTTGACCAAAGCACGTGTTTTCCGATAACAAATCTTTATTGACCCCCGTTTTTTCTTCGTTTTCTTAGAAAAATCCTTCGAGTGGAAGCTTCTTTTAGAAGCGCTGGAAAAGAACCTTAGAGGTGCCGCATTCCACGGTTGAGCTTTTAAGTGACCGAGAGCGCGTCTTATGTGAAGTGAAAGATAACCTAGTGGATTTTGTGTAAGTTGCCTCAGAGCACAGCTCAAGCAGCGGATTGATTCAACTCGAGAGCCAGCACATGCGCCGCGGCTGATCTTTCACAACTGTCAACAGATATTTTTACAAAGAGTTTCTTCGAAAAGAAGAATCGCAAATTTTGCTTCATTACTGCTGAGCTAAGCTGAGCTGACCTAAGAGAAAATTTCTTTGAGCTGAGCTGAGCTGAGGTGGTCTTTTCAAGGGTCATTGAGCTGAGCTGAGCAGAGTTTCTTTTTTTATAGTTCATTGAGCTGAGCAGATATTTTCTTATGACACTTGAGCTGAGCTGAGTAGACCCTTTTTAGAGCTGAGCTGAGCTTGTTTTTACTGTTTTTTACAAGTAAAATAGTGCAATCTGACCTGTGTAGTCTAGCCCAACATCATTGAATTGGGCTGAGATGAGTGATGATTGTGTGAGCTGAGCTGAGCAAAGCAGATCATGTCGAAAGAAGATTGAGCTGAGCTGAGCTGAAATGATTGATAATTGTTTGAGCTGAGCTGAGCTGAGGAGGCCACATCATTTTCGAAAATCACTGAGCTGAGCTGAGCGACTGCTCAGCTCACGCCGCCGGCTCAGCTCACTCAGCTCACCAAGTTTGCAACTCAGACGAAAACCGCTCATATTATTTGATATTTATTGGAGATTCAAAAAATCGAAGTCAAAATCGCGAAATATCAGTTCGGTAGATAGATAAGCTCGGAGTTGGAAAATAATTTTCCTGGCGGTAGCGTGATAGCGCAAGAAAAACGATAAGACCCGTCTAGGCAAGCCGTACTCTGAAGTTAACCCTAATGAATGGTCGGCCCATCTTTAGAGCCAGTAATCGGAATAGCGCATAAAATTTGAAATTTTAGAATTGGAATTTTATTTGAAGAAAAAACGGCAACGGAGTTTTTTTTCTGAAAACGAAAACGAGAGAATGAGGAGGAGGAAGTTGCAATTAGTGATTCTTTTTTCGCTTTTCCGGAGTAAGACGCAAATTTTCGAATTCTTTCGAGCGATCGATCATCCAATTGCTCGGAGGAATGCAGATCCGGTCGGAAGCGCTACGGGCTCACGTGACCCACTCACGTCACTTTTTGGAACGCGCAAATCAGCCATTTAGCTCGTTGTTTGAAAATACTCGAAATTGAAAATGTTTATTAGATTCTGGAAGCTTCTCAGAGGATGAACTTCTTAAATATTTTTCCTTTTTCATATTGATTGAGCGATTTTTCTTACACCCCGTATTTTCACGAAAAAGCGTTTGAAGAAGGCGACCCCTAAAACATGTTTACTTGCCGACTTGAGTGAGTAAACAGAAATTAATCGTCGGACCCTACAAATTAACGCGGCCACTTTGGACGCTGCAAATTTGCAAAATTTAAAACTCACAAAAAGCTCCACCTCAGCGAAAAGAAAGTTTATATTTCTAATTTCCAGACACATTTTGAATTACGTGTAGATTAAAAGGCATCTTCAAACTAGAAGACACGTTTCCGAAACACGCATTTTACAAGTTTAAAGCATCTTGAGTGAATTTTCGTCTTGCTAATTGGCTCATGTTGGATTTGCTTTTTGCTTGGTTTTGGGTTGAAGATGAAAAAATGGAAGTGCATATTCGGATGACCAATAAGATTGTTGTATTTGTCTCCCCGGCCAATCAAAATCCTGATCGATAAAACAGATGAAAAATTTTCTTATTTTAGGAAAGAACCTAAAAATGGGACTGATTTTACGAATGAAAGTTTTGATTGGCTGGTTATCCAAATACAGCAATCTTATTAGTTATCGACAAATGCACTTCTATTTTTGGCGAAGAAAAAATTTTTTCGGTCACTTTGAAAAATTTTGAGAATTTGAATGACGAGCTAAATCTCTTCAAAATTGCCCGTGGGAACATGTTTTTCCGTTTCCTCCTTCTTGAGCGTCCATTATCTCTTTAACGTGAATTTATTAGCGCTTGTTAGAAGCTCACCTCATTACTCCTTCTCTCCCGAGCGAAAACAGAAAAAAGCGGAAGAAATTAAAGTTGCCCAATTTCTGAAAAAGCCGGATTGTGGTCGCCCCTCCGAGCCTGTTGAGCCCTAAGCCGATTCGAAGATCTCCAACGATTCAAGCAAAAAT